CCGCTCTTTCCATTGGCAGACATATGAACTTACATCAAATAATCTGGGAGTTCAATTGTTGAAGAAGGTTCCGTGGAGGCAGTGCAACCCTCTTTAACTCCTACAAAGAAAAAGAAATTCAGAGCGTTCATCAACCAGTATGGTTATCAAATGCTTGCAATTCTAAAATAGATTAGAAACATCTGGAACACTTTTCCTCAAATTCTATTCTTCCATCTCAATAAGCAACAGTGAGCAAGGAATACAATTGAACACGAACAATAGAAGCCCTATGACCAGCGCCAGCAGAACTGACGCCAGGCATTTAAAGCACCCTGGCTACTGCAGTGTCTGCACAATAAAGGAATTCCATCTTAACCCAAGGTCACTCTTCTATTCTCTCAACAACAGTTGTGGCATCTGCCCAGCAATTCAAAGACTGTGGTGGCAGATGCAGCCAGACAATGGGAGATACAAATTTTACATCAACATCTACTTTTCATGGGATTCAAACAAGGCAGATGAGACAATAAAGTCAGGTAGCAGACTGCTTTGGTCACTGTGTTTGCATTGCCGCCCTTTTTTGTATGCAGACAGTGGGACCCAGTAGAAAGCTTTCCCATCGGTTTAAAGTGATTTAAAATAAGGTATTACTGCATGTTGATTTATACTTCTCTGAGCTCTAGCCCTCAGAATACTTTTTTTAGCCCGCCCCCCCCAAAAAAAAAACCCCACCATAAACCAAAAACAAAAACACCAAAAGACAAAAACAAAAACACCAAAAAACAAAAACAAAAACAAAAAGGTGCTGCTCAGGACTATGCTCTCAGAGTGTTTAAATCTATCAGTATTATACTGTGGATAATACCATTTCCAGAGAGTAGATTTAAACTTTTTATTATCCTTTTTTTTTGGCACCCTAACCATGCCTGCTGGCAAAACATTATATGGTGTCTATAAAATGAGTATTTGATAATTTCTCAGTTTAATATCTTAAAGGACAAAGTACCATATTTTTTTATCTACACACACACACACATTAGGTTGTTGGCAAAGTCAGGCTTATTTTTTCTGTTTTTCTATGCAGAAATGTACCATGATTTCCCCGACAAGCCAATATATATGGGTCAGGCTTGGTCAAGAGAACATGCTTTCAAAACAGCCTGAGTCCTAAAGGAAAAGTGCCCGTGCAGGTTGCCTTTAACAGGTAAGTTCCGAAAGGTGCAGGAGAGGGGGTCTAGATCTATCCTCAGTTGATGAAAGGTGCCATATTCTCAGCGAGGAATTCGAGAGACTGTGTCTGCGTCTCCAGGTCTCTAACTCTGAGAACACTTGAGTCTCAACACATAGAAATCTAGACTTCGTGGCACTATCCTCTGACTCCAGATTGGCATCTAAGTGCGGGAAGTGGGGGAAGTGGGGTTTGCTCAGAAATCCCTTACAGACTCTAAACATAGAGTTTCACTTTTTCCTGACCTGAAACGTTCCAGAACAAGAGTGTTGGAGGAAGAATGTTTACCCCTACCTCTTGGGTCATTATATAATATTATACCGCTCTAAATATTTCAACGATTTTCTTTGACATGCAATACACCCATGCCAGTTCGGCTGAGGCACCATATCATACCATTTGACAACTCTTACTTTGGAGGTACACTAAAAGAAATCAGAGTTTCTCTTCATAGAGCCAAACGATGAGTCAAATATCAGGATTATATCCTTCCAGTGTTAGGAGCAAGATATGGGAGCACAACACTCTTTAAAACTCTATTTTTAAAGTAATTTTTTCTAAAGTTGTATTTTCCTATGCCATTTTGTCTTAGGTGTTCCGGGCTTAAAATTGGGAGCAATGTTAAAGGATAGACTTGGGTCTTCTGCGTTCTAGAGGTTTTTGCTATGGGGCGCGTGCGGTCGCCAGATAGACAGAGAGAGACAGAGAGACAGAAAGCGAGACATCCCCCCCGGGGGGGGGGATGGCCATGCCACAATCCCTTCTCCTCCATTCTCCCCTTGGGATCTTGGGCACACACGCACACGTGCCCGGTGTGCGTTTAAGCCACCGGGACTGGGATGCGAACCACCGTCGACTACATGGGAGTCCAGTGACATAGCCATTATGCCAACTGCTGGTCCCGAGGACAGACATTATTTAAATAAGAAAACTCTAATTTTGTCATTCATTTGGCTACCTTAACTACTAGGATATGAGGCTTGCCCCAGTGTAAATTAATTTATATTTAAAATTTTTTTTAGATTTTGGCCACAGGGTGCATGGACTCATCGGAGAGGGGGGGCAGGAGAGAGAGAGAGAGAGAGAGAGAGAGAGAGAGAGAAAACACCCCCCATGGGGCCGGCAGGTGGTGTGGTGACTTAAGGGCGCTGGACTCCTACATGGCCAACCACGGCTCAAGTCCTGGACCTGATGGCTTGCTTTCTCACTTTCCATCTCTCTCACTCTCTCTCATTCTGTATCTCTCTGGTCAAATTAAAAGAAATAAATAAAATTTAAAAAAAAAAGAAAGAAAGAAAGAAAGAAAGAAAACACCCCCCACGGGTGATGACCATGCCACAGTCCCTTCTCTTCCATTCTCCTCCTGGGATTTGGGTATGTGCACACACGTGCCCGGGGTGATTTTCAAGCCTCTAGGTCTGGAACTCAAGCCACGGTCGACCATGTGGGAGTCCCGCCACCTTAACCACCATGCCACTTGCTGCCCCCTTATCATTCATTTATAAAAACCAATATAATTTAGGTAAATGCCTTTCTACTGATTTGCTTTTCTGCAGAGATAAAGCATTATTTTAAGTTTCTTTGGGTCACGAAGAATTTCGTTTAAGCTTTCTAAAAACCTTATAAACGGTTAATTTTACAAATGACACTTGATGTTTGTTTACTAAAACAGGACTCTGTTGAGATCTGTACTTTAGATCTATCAAGCTAATAATAGCCAACAGCTTTGCAAAAGACAAACTGCCTTCACCCAAAATGAAGATGAGGTTCTGGATCAGCAAATGTAATTTTACCTTGCCTGTTTTATAAAGAATTTGACATTTCCCCTGGGTTAATATTAATTAAGGCAGGGATGACCCTGTTTCTTTGGGAAAGAAGGAAATGAATATTTTTAGCTAATGTGTGTCTGGTTAAATCAGTTCAAGAGTGGTCATGTTGCGGTTGCATCGTACTATGAAAAGAACATCGAAGTCCATTTTCTCAAAGGGAGCCTCTGGAGGATGACAGGGTCATTTTCAAATGCCATTTTCTTCTTAACAAATAGAGAAACTATGTTTACTACTTGGCTAAAAAGAGACCGAAAATGACTGCTATAAAATGAAAGAAAAAAATCTGCCCAAAAGCATAGTACTAAGATCAATAATTAAAAAGCATGACTAATTACAAATGGCACAGTCTCAAACTCATGATCCTATGCTCTTCCAGTTCATTTAACATACGCATTTTTTTTTTTTTTCCCAGTGTGAAATACCTTCATTGGAATTCGGACTGGAGTTATTTAGCTTGGCAATTTCCTCTTGTCGTTTAAGGTCCTCTTCCTTTTCTTCAATAGTTTCAATGTCCTGCTTTTTGATTTGGTCCTTTTCCTTGTGTTTTTTTGACTTCTTCTTGGACTTTTTGTGCGACATTGAATGGTTTTCCTCCATAGGCTTTGGACACTTTAGTAGAACTGAACTGGGGGGTAAGGTTTCCAGAGAAGTCCTAGAGGTATATTTGTCTTGCTGGTCCTCATAGATGCTACCATTTTGACTAAAGCTGTCAACAGGCAGGTCTTGAGTCCCCCGGCCTTCCGGAGTGCTGGGGGAATTGGAGTTAGAATTTACAGTCTGAGGAGGATTGGAGACGGGCAGGTGGGTGGAAGGCAGCGGTGGAGGGGTGGGAAGGGCGGCAGTTACAGGGGGTGGAGGGAGGCCGGCAGCAGGCTTTTCACTGGTAGGATTCAAATGACCATTTAGGGTGGGCGGTACTCTATTTGTCAAGTGAGATATTCGAGCTTTTTTATTCATTAAAGGATCAATGAAATCTGAATCCAAAAGCCGTTTCTAGGGGAGAAAAAGAGAAAAACTATGAGCTGCTTTGCACTGAAATTCAGTAAATCCAACCTACCTGTGACACTTAAATAACAGTCATCTTAGACTCAAATGTATTACGAGGGTTGCATTAACCATTCTCCAAACTTAAGAAAATAAACAAACCAATCGACTAAACCAAACCAAGCCAGAACATTAACAAAACCAAACCAAAAGTGAAATACATTTTAATGTCTAATGTCTAAAAGCAGAACCTGGGAAATAACGTTTCTCCAAGTCCGCATGCAATTCTAGCTATTCAGTCTTACCTGATTCCTAAAAAGACTGATGATTTGTGGATTTGACCACTCAGGAGAGAATTAAATAGAGGGAGCCACCCTCCAGCGCTGGCCACGGCTGCCCCAGTTAATATTAAATGAGAGGAGGAAGCAATTGGTGTCATTTGACCCAATGAGAGCTAATGAGGCTAGGTAAAAGGCAATAAGCCTCCATTTAGTTCATCTTTAATCTATTAAAATGCTCCAGTTATAAATATGTTGGCTGTTATTTATCATTTCACCTGTCTTACAGTGGGAAAAAGCCAACAGTGTAATTTCTCTTAAGTATCTCTGACATTGTTGACATGTTATTTATTTTTTTTAAACCTTTACGGATCTCTTCCACTAGACTGGAAAATAAGTCTTCATAACTGATCAATTAAAAAGATGTAGAACTACTTTTTAAAAAATCATGATTATATTAACCCAATCCAGCGACAACAGTAGTATTAAGTTAAAAAGGAAATTTGGACAATGAGAAAGTATGAAACATAAATCCATATCGATGTTTATTTATTTAAAAAGTCTTTTCTCAGACTTTTGCTATAGAGTGCAAGCACTAGCTGGGGTGGGGGGGGGGAAAGAGAGAGATAAATATATAGAGAGAGAGTGAGAAATCACCCCTTAGGGAGGATGGCCATGCTACAATCCCTTCTCTATTCTCCTCTTGGGATTTTGGGCACACACGCCCCCAGCATATTTCTAAAGCTACTGGGTCTGGGATTTTCATCACATAGTCGGCCATGTGGGATTCAGCTGCCTTAACCTCTGAGCCACCTACTGGCCCAACATATTGATGTGTAAATAAATCCTGTGGCTTGCACTTTAGCTTGAAAGAAAAAAGTAATCAATTCATTAATTTATTTTGTTTTCAATTTAGCATCCAGTATATATTTTGAGTAGAAGTAGCTTCATAATAGCTGGCATGAAAAATAGGACTTCCAAAGACAATTTACATGCAAGGATAGAATTGCCTTATTTATTTATTTATTTATTTATTTAAATTGCCCCTTCTCTGTTCCTCATAATAGGTCTCTAACATCTTCTGGGTTCTGAATAGCCTTTTGCCCAAGGACTGCTTACTGTTCTCTGCACATGTGTCTGTTGCTTCTCCTAATTCTCGGAAGAAGGGTCCAGAGAGAGAGGACACTGTGTCTGTGGCATTGGGTTAGGGAGTCTGTCCCACTGTTTGTCCAAAGCACCCGGGACACTGAATTTCGAGGCCAGCTGGTCTGCTGAGAACCAGAGGGCTCGAACGCTAGCACCATCCAGTAGCTGCTCATTTTTTTCCAGGATGGGTTGAATCTCTTGAGGGAAATTCTAAAATGCAGTAAAGCCTGATTAGGAGTATTCTGGTCAGGATTCAATGGAAAAGGCTTTAAGGAAACATATAAGAATATGCCATTGCTTTTTGTTTATTTGCTTATTGCAAATACATTTTCCCCCAAGAATATTTCTCTGGAGCATGTTTCAGACAAAATTAGATATTTTCTATATAATCTAACAATTGCATGGGTTGGATAACTTGTCTAGCTAGTGACCAAACTGAAAAGTAGATAGTCTTACCACAAAATGTAAACTATAAAAATGGAAAGCAAGGTCCACATTAAGTAGAGTGTTTTGACAAGCAGAGCTGTGTGGTGGACAGAGAGCTGGGCTGGGGGCCAAGACCCAAATGCAATGCCAGCCTCCGTCATGAGGTAGCCGTGTGGCTGTGGACAGGCAAGTTGTACAACTTCTTTGGGTCTAATTTCCTCACTTATAAATGAAAGGACCTGAATGGTGGCTCTTGGAAGGTACATGTTATGTTTTTGACTCTGTAACTTAAGAAATACCTGAGGAGAAGATGCAGCGTCCCTACTAGGACATACAGGAGATTCCGAGCGGCTGGTGCTGGCAGCATTTTGAGATGGATTGAGTTTTCTGTAAAGGATACATGTGTTTCAGGTTTTGGAAAGAATTTTAACATGTTCATGATAGAAAGCTCACTCTGGCTTTTCTTGCCCACCTCAATACTAAAATAGCAGTGGCTAAAGTAATTATTTGCATCATTAAAAAAAATTAAGAGCAAAAAGGACTTACCTAGAGAGTACCGACTCCAATGACCGTCTATCTGTTTCATTGTATCCAGGCCAGTCTCTCTGAAGCTCTTTAAAAACATAATCCTTAAGAGTATATGAGAGGTCCTTAGGATTCAGATTGGCCACCTGGTACATGGTGTAAAAATAGAGAATTTAGATATTTGGGCTAACTATCTCCTAACTTAAAATAGGCAACCTTTAGAATTTATACTGAAAATAATTACACTCACTGGTCCCAAAGGGACTGCTAGTTTATTTATTTTTTAATAATTATTTATTTTATTTATTCATTCATTTATTTTTTTAAAATTTGACCAGAGAGGGGTGAGAGTGAGAGAGAGAGGAAGTGAGAAAGCAAGCCACCAGATTCAGGATTCGAACCCTGGTTGGCCATGTGGGAGTGTCCAGCACCTTAACCACCATACCACCTGCTGCTAGTTTTATACATGCCAGTTTTATAAATGCTATTCAACTTCATTTTGAGTATTAAATCTTCTTCTTTTTTTTTTTGTGGGGCTGCCTCACAGAACCTTGCAGTCCACCACTGCACCACCATCTGCCCCTCTCCTTTCACAATAGTTTTATTAATTTATTATTTTTCTTGAGAGAGAGAGAGAGAGAGAGAGAGAGAGAGACAGATGGAGGGAGGGGGGGAAAGAGAGAGAGCAAGAGAAAGTGAGGAAGTAAGCCACCAGGCCTGGGACTTGAACACAGTTTGCCAAGTGGGAGCCCAGTGCCTTAACCATCAAGCTACCTGCTGGTCCCTGGGGGATTAAATCTTTATATACATAGCTAAATTTTTTTCCTAAATGACCATAACATTTGCTCTATTTTCTAATAAAATAATAAGCCCACATAAGAAAAAGAGGACTTTTTTTTGATAGTCAAAGGAGTTCAAAAACAGTTATAATAAATAGTACCAGCATCATTATTTGCTTGTAGTCATTAACTCCCTTATGTTTGAGTTAATAAAGATAATTGATAAAAGTCCGTGATCATTTATATTAAGCAGAAAACAAAGCGTGCCCAAACATTGGTTACAAACTTTCCCCCCAGTCATCAACAGACATTATCTCCATAAATACTGACTCTGCTGCCCTTGTCTTTTTTTTTTTGATAAACAGCACCTGGTGTCTACCAGCTCTCCTGAAGAACCACTCTCATTCAAAGTCCTTGAAATTCCTGAAAACCAATAAATGGAAGCATCAACCAAAGGAGCCCCCAAATGACTGTTATTAGTCAGCCAGTTGATTCCTAGGTGTAATCTTTCCTTAGCCTTTAAATACAATTCCTAGAGTGTCCAGGCCTGTAATCCACTAATCACACAATGTGGGTTTAGGTGTCAAACCAAAAGTAATTTTTAAGGATAGCAGAAAGGAATGTCTACCTGTCGCTTCCTACTGGAATGGGCTTTAATCACTCCTTCATCACTTCCTGTGTTTTTAAAAAGTATTATCAAATATAACAAGATAGTTTATGCTTCCCTCATGGTTCAGCTAAATACTAATCTGTTAATTTTGTTATAAAGTAGAAAACGGTAGGCTAATCTTAAAATTCAAATTTGAAAGTAATTTAATACAGGATACAACTAAATTTCTTAAAGTGGAATAAACATAACAGCCTCTCACTTTTCTATCACCCCCCAAGTACTAGACATACGGACATCTTACCGGACAGTAATTTCTTCTCTAGGTTTCTTTTCTTTTAAATTTATTTTTGCTATAGAGCATGTGTGATCGCTGGACAAAGAGAGGGAGAGTGAGAAATGACCCCTCAGGGTGGATGGGCACTCCACAATCCTTTCTCCTACATTCTCTTGGGATTTGGGACACATGCATATTGCCTGGCATGCTTTCCAGGTTATAGGCCTTGTAAGTGGGCCATGTGGGATCCAGTGCCTTAACCACTATGCCACCTGCTGGTCCCCTCCTCCAGGTTTCTTAACAGGACAGTCTCCTAGTCTCCTCCTCCCTCAAGGACTTTATTTTTTAAGTCTCTTTTATTCACTCTTCTCAATGCTGGAGTCTCAGGCTTGTCTGGATGGATGGTTTGCTACATTCTCATTTCCTAAAAGAATTGTATTCAGCTCTAAGGCTTTCATGACCCAATGTATATGGACCACCTCCCCTCTGAACATGGAACTCTCAAGTGTCATCATCTACTGACATGTAGCTCCATTCGGATATGTCAATGGACATTCTCCAAACTGGTGTTGTCATGGAATTCCTGGTCTCTCCCCTCCTCTCTCTCACCTGTTCCTTTTCCATCACTCCTCATCTCGGTCAATGGCTCAATAGCCATTCAGTTGCTCAGATCCATGCTATCCCTCACCCTCTCTCTAAAGTCAAGCCACTAGTAAGTCTTCTCACAAACACATTCCTACGTGACAAACCATTTCTACTGGTTGCACCAGTTCAAACCACCGATACTTCACATCTGGACTTCTGCAGGAAGTAGGCTCTTTTCAGTAGTCTCTCCCTTTTACTGTGCCCCCTCCCACCCCCTGCAACCACTTTCAGTCTGAGTGATTTTATTAAAAGAATAAATCAGATTATTGCATATCCTTATTTTAAACTCTGCAATGATTTCCCATCTCACTCAAAATAAAAGCTAAATACTTGCTTGTGGTCTAAAAAGGCCCTCTGGGATTTGTCCTCTTCCTCTCTTTTACCCTGCACTCTGGACTTCTTTACCTTCAACACACCAAAAATTCTCTTCCTCCAGTCTCCCAGAAGTGCTAATTCGACTAGTCTTTCGCTCATAATTTCCACTAAACTGTATCTATCTGAGAATGTGGCTCCCTGATTTCTCCACTCGAAGTAGCTGAGCCCTCCCCCAGTACCTCTGGACTCGCCACTCTACTTCTGGTTGTCTCATGAAGAAGTTCCACAAGGGCAGGAATATTCTGTTGGGGTCACTTTGGGATTCCAACATTTAGAACAGAGTGTGGTATATTCTAGGTAATTAATAAATGGAATCGAATGAATTAATGTTGAGCTTGAGTACTAGTTAAGGGACCAGATTCCACATGACCAATTATGATTCGAATGCCAGCCCCAAGTGCTTGAAAAAACACAGGGCATGTGTGTGTGTACGTGCATGCATACACTCAAAATTCTGATGGGATGGAGAAGTGGAAAACGGACTGCAGTATGATCAATCCTCCCCCCTCACCCGTTTCTTTGTCTTTAGTGAGCACACACCCTCTGGCAATTAAGTCAAACAAACAAATCACAAAAAGAGAAACAGCTTTCCAGGAATAGTCATTCTAAAAGGTCTTATAAAAAGAACCCTAACCCTAACCTTAACCCTAATTCCAAACAAATATAAAGCCAAAAACCAACCAAACAAAAAGTCTTATAAATATACACCAGTTCTGTAACAAGCCATATTAAACAAATTTCCTGATGGAAATATTAAGCATTTTTAAATTTAGGTTTAATATTTCAAGTTTTATTAAGAATTACCATCTAGTTTATTTTAAAAACAAACAAAACAAACAAAAAATCTCGCTACTTCAGGGCTGGCCCAATAGGCTAGTGGTTAAGGGACCTGAATCCCAAATGGTCAACCAGAGTTTGATCCCGGTGTCTTGAGAAACATGCCAAGCACATGGGTGTGTGTGTGTGTGTGTGCGTGTGTGTGTGCACCTAAAATCCAAAAGGAGAAATGGAGAAGGGATTATGGTGTGGTCATGCCCAGTTTCTTCCTTTCTCTTTCCATTTCTAGCAAGTGCACATGACCTTTGGTAATTAAAAAACCTCTGAAAACCAAACCTATTATTTAAAATAATGTTGGCAAGGTGTTTTTATTTATTTGCCATAAATAACAAATCATCAACTACCTCTGTTGACATAGGCAAAGCAGGACCAATTATTTTAGGTAACTAATGGTGTGGAAAATCTGTTCATCTGTTCTTTTTTCCCTCCATTCCTCCATCCTGCTGAGATTTTAGGCATGTGCTCCTTCTCCTCTCTTGGGTCTCCTTTTGGTAGGTTTTATTGAAGTACAAGTCATTTAAGTTTTCTTACTAGCTGCTAGTAATGTTCAGAAAAGAGTACTTACGGTTAATTATTTTAATTTAAAGTTCTGAATGTGCCTCTAGAATCTTCCTGGTGAAGATTAAACGAGCTCATGCCCATGAACTGACGAGCATGGTGCCTGGCATATGGTATGCACTGAGCAATGGTAGATATCAGCCCTTCTATGGATGTTTCACCAGCTGTGATCTTCAGCCTATATCACACACTAGACTCACCAAGGGTATACACTCTATTGGTGCTCAGACTTTACCTTCAGACACTTGGATTTAGTTGGGTCTGGGGTGGAGTTTAGGCACTGGATTTTTTTTTTTTAAGCTCCCTGGGGATTCTAATATGCAGCTGGGATGCAACTATGCCCTAGATTCTACTGAATGATCAACACTAGTAATGGCCACGCTCAGAGATTAAATATACTTATATTTTTTGACATGTGTGTCTATACAGACTCACATAAAATCACGTAACTACTGCAGTTTTCAATAGAATCCTCTATGTGAACTGCCTCTTCCATCCTCTAACCCACAAGGTAATTGACAATCTTTGTGGAGATTTAATTACAATTATTTTGTGATTCTTTAACCTGATTCTCCCCCTTCCCCAAATACAAAACCACACACATACACATACCCCATCCTCATCCATTCTCTCATCCAAACTTTTAAGCTCTTAAAACGGCTATGTGACATATGGATTTAAGCTAAGTGTTTCTATAATGTGCTCAAAGGATTTCATAAAGATTCTTGAGACTGACTGGAATCTCTTGATGTCCTGGGGATTGGCTAAAAACAATTTAAAATTCATAATAGCACATGGGAACGAGAGAGAGAGAGGTAGGGGTGGGGACAGCACCCTGGCTAAGGTCTTATCACACAGCAATTCCCTTTCCCCAGCCTCCAGCTTGTCAGGATCCTAGGCTCCTGCATGTGTGCCAGGTGTATTTTCAGGCCAATCCAGGGATCCAACCCACAGATGGCCATATAGCTTCCAGCACTACAGTTCAGTACGCTATAGACTGTGCCACCTAGACTGGGTCTTGTAGCATGTCTTGAACATAAGAAACAACAAATAAAAAATGAGACCTAAAAGTATTCTTTGAATAGCAGATGAAAACCTGTAGGTGTTATTTTAGCTGATGAAGTTTAAGAACTTTGGACATACTATTGCTTTAGAATGAATAAAGAGATCGACTACCATTTATGGTGGATCTGAATGCTAATCAACATTTATGACTTGAAGTCAACATAAAAAATACAGTAAGTCAGTCTGACAAACCAGTAACTTTAATGGCCTACTTTTATACTTAGGGAAACTGATCACAACTAATACTTTATACATCTGTATCGTGGAATGCAGAACGGTGAACGATCTCGGCACACCCAAGGGCAGAAAAAGCCAGAGTAATAAGGGCAGCAAGGAGTATACAAGGCAAGGCACACTCTAACCTACTTTGTGGGCTGAAGTATTCTGGCTTTCACCACCCAAAGACTGACAGAATACATTACATAACCTCACCTATATAAACCAATGGAAATTAAGGTGATAGTTTAGGTGGTTCAGGACTGTAACCAAGCATCATTGCCTGCTTTTTAATAGGAATTTTTTTTTGAGAGGTTTTTGCTATAGGGCGTGTGCGCTCGCCAGACAGACAGAGAGAGACAGAGAAATAGAAAGCGAGAAATCACCCCCAGAGGGGATGGCCATACCGCAATCCCTTCTCCTCCATTCTCCTCTCGGGATCTTGGGCATGCACGCACACATGCCCGGCGTGTTTTAAGCCACCGGGTCTGGGATGCGAACTGCAGTCAACTACGTGGGAGTTCAGCGACATAGCCATTACGTTAACGGCTGGTCCCAAAGGATTTTAAAATTTTATGTAACTGATTACAAATGAAGATAATGGCCATATTTCAACTAGTGTTTAATTAAATGCTTAAAGCAAGAGGACTTAATTTAATATTTAGGAGTTATATTTCCTATACCACTGATCAAATGATCCTGCAAGTTCTCCATCTCAATAATGCTGGTAATAATGACAACAACACGTCTTCTGAAATGAACTTCTCCACAGGAGGGTGAGCAGAAGGAGCTCTCTCCAGCTGTCCTCACCTGCTGCAGGATTGCTCCCAGGGAGTTCTTGTCTTTTTGATTGACGCCATCTTTCTGCAGTCGAGCAAGCAGCTCAGGTTTCTTGTAGGCCTTCAGTGCCAGTAAATGAATCACCCTGTCCCTGTATGGCCGCTGAGAAATGCTGCTGCTGCCATGTGTCTTTCGAATCGTATTCGCAGGGTTCATGGGGGTTGACCTTTTCCTCTCAGGCACTGCGTCGGAAACAGCTTGAGGTGCTTTCCGAATTTGCACTCTTTTCCCTAAAGTCCAGTGAAAGGGACATGGTTACATGCTTGTGGGTTACAATATAACGAGCAACCCAGTTTTCACAACCCTAGTTTAGGTACCTCTTCATTTCTGAGGGAATAAAGGCCACTTTATTTCAATCTTCCCTTTAAAGAGACATGCAAACAGAAAGCAGTCTAAATAAATGGCTTAAAATGTGGATTATGAATTATTTTGGTGAGATCATTTCCTGGAATCAATATGCATTATAGAAGTATCTTGCACACTTAGTTACACATGGCTGACAATTAGTAACACAAACAGTAACAACAAACTGGGAATTTTTAGACTGTACTTATTTGATGCTTACTGGAAATACAGTAATTTCTGTGTGCTATTTACAAAACTTGAATCTACAAACTATAAGCCCATTCTGAGAAGCAGACATGAATACAGTGAACATGGGTGAAATGTGAAAGCAATTTGTCTGACCTCACACTCCTGGCTGAGCTGGGCCACTCCCTTCACAATTCCAGAGAGTCAGAAGCCTCAGGGAGGGAAGTCAATACCTACTAGTCATCCCTTAGTGATATTCCAATGGGACGGATCATGGCAAATTTTAGGAATCAAAAAGGAAAACCAACCAACTAAGAAACAAGCCATCTCACAGGGTGCCAACAGATCCCTCCTCTGCTGTGCTGAGACCAACAGGTGACTTAGGGCAATGGAAAAAGGAGGCCTTCACCCAGTTCCTGCATGGGCCAGTGCCATTCACTGGTGGTTCAGGCCGAACACTGACGCCCGACAAGTGGCTCCTTCTAGAAAGTGTGTAGCCATCTGCATACTCTGGGTGAAGCTATCCAGAGTATAGCTCAGTACATGACCTCAGTAACCATTCCTTGGTGAAGGAACAGAAAGCAGCATGAATCTGTAAGAGCTCCTCACTTGAGAATTTCTGAGATGGACTATCTTGGCTCATTTGGCACACACCATGCCTCCGCATAATGAGGGGAAGAACTGGTAATGACGTAGAAGTGGGATGATCATGTCAGGCACAAGACTGGTAACCAAAAGCAATGGTAAGCAAAGTTGTCCGTAGGAGCTGTGGTCGGGCTGGAAACACCTTCCTGGGACTAGGAGCTTTACTGAAGAATAATCCCGTACATGCTGGACTCCTCAAGACTGGCCAAAGGGTCTACCTGTTTTGATATCATCCTACTTCAAGTAAAGGAAAAAGGAGGGATGCTCTCAGGAAACCTCCACTGGCTGGTATGTTTCTTTACTATCTAGACATAACCAATTGCAAATATCAGAACGAACTATCACATAACACAGAACTCCGCATTCAGAAGCCAGTGCCTAATGGGAATAAAAACTATTCAGCTGCAATTGGTATTTTGGACAGAAATGAGATCTGGTTTCTGTAATTTTCTTGGAGACAGCCAGATCAACGTCAGATGGGAAGGGAACTAAGATTTACCATGCACCCATTATATGGAGGGAACTGTGTTAAAAGGTTCACAAACTCTAGCTTATCAATCCTCACAGGAACCTGAAAAAATGGACAGTCTCCATTTCACATGAAAAAGCATTAAAGCTTTTTTTTTTAAAATTATTTATTTAATTTTATTTATTCATTCATTTATTTTAATTTGACCAGAGAGACACACAGAAAGAGAGAGAGAGAGAAAGTGAGAAAGCAAGCTACCAGGTCCAGGATTCAAACTGTGATCAGCCATGTGGGAGTGTCCAGTGCCTTAACCACCACACCACCTGCTGGTCCCCAAGCATTGAGGCTTTAATGGAATACACTCAAATGGCACAGTATTCACTTAGTATTTGGGCGACTCTGTGACGAGTACTCAAGTTCCCTATTTGTACTTCTTTGTGCGAAAATTTTTATGAACAATGCTGAATGTTTGCTGTTGGTTCGTGCTAGGCTGGAAGCTCCAGGAAGGTGAGGCTAGGGCTGCTTTGTCCACCAGCAGACCTTGAATCAGTGTTTGATGAATAAGTGGATGGCAGCAAGAGAGCAAACAAACACGGGAGCAAGAACCAACACACCCTCGTCTTCCCACACCTCCAGCTGCCAGAATCTGGACACCACCAAACTTTTAATGTGGCAAATGCAAACCTTCTCATCCACTGTTTCTCTGTTGCAATAATGTTGACAAACTACTATTCCTTTAAATTTTAATAGGAATTTGTGGGGAAAAAAATAGGATCAAAGTCACAAAAGTTTAGGAAATGCTATAAATTTTACACTCCCTTCCCCCTTGCCAAGTTTTTATAAAAGAAACCTATTTAACTCACTCTTTTCCAACCAAACTGGCTGTGAAGTCCCTTTTCCTCCATCTGTATCTCCCACTCTTTTCCTCTTTTTATGGAAAGGGGGATGAGCAGAGAATACCATTTAGCTAAGCTTGTATGGACCATGGCTGGTCATTTAGAATGAATTCAAGCTGGCAAGGCAAATAAAAATACAAACTGAGGCCCAGCTGTGGTGGCACAACTGCTCCGGAGCTGTGGTCTGCAGGCTGGGCCTGCCTGGGGTGCCGGGGTTGGAGCCCAGGTTTGCCCTAAAGGCCAGGTGCAGTGGCACCTGCTTGTAGCCTGTAGTCCCAGCCATTCTGGAGGCTGAGTAGGAGGATCACAACACAGATCCTGTCCCTAAATAATAAAAACCGAAGGTGACAATACTTGCTCTGTGCTCCCGGGTACCCCACCCCCTCGATACCTCTGATCCGTTTCTGATCCTCAGCCTCAGGAGAGCACCAAGGTGTTCGGGGCTTACCCTCACCCTTTCAGAAGCAAAAATAAGGCAGAAAAATAAGGAAGGCTAATTTTTCCCTTAAGGAGGGTTTAAGTATGAAGTCTGACAGGAAATTAGGGCGTGGTTGGGAGAGGCCCCTTCCATGGGGCCTCACCTCCCCTAAATCCCCCGCCCCCAGTACCTTCACTCTGTCCTTACCTCATTTTCCTTTTAGACAGCCAGTCACTGGGTAACCCAGCTTTTTCCAAATGCTTGAAAGAATACCCCACCCATGCGAGGCCACGTGCCCCTGCCTCCCCATGCCTTTCCTGCCTGTGCTAAAAGGAAGGAGTCCTCTTTTTAAGGAGAGACAGGCTAGAGGCAAAGAAAACACTGGCCATGTAAATATTTATGAAATAGAGATGCTAAAGAAAGAAAAGGAAAAGGCAGGCAGGAAAATGGCAGGTTCAAAGTGTGCAGAAGAAAGGCTTTATTTTTATTTTTTATATTTGCCTCAGAAAAGCCCTTTTAATAAAGCCTGTGGGAGAACCTAATTCTCTTCCCAGACCCAACTGCTAATCAATCCCCCGGGGTCCTCATATAAACAGCAGCAGCGGGTCCAACAGGGCTGGGCAATCTGGGACTACATCTGAATCGGTTTCCTAACAAGGAGTCCACTTCTAGCTTCTCCACTGAGTGGAGACGGTGAAAGTATTTATCCCTCAGTCTAAGGCTCTGAGTGAGCGCTCTGAAAGGACGGTGTTGAAACAGCCCATTAGAAGGGGAGCAGGGCCGCAGCTGTCTTCTGAAGTTGTTTTTCTGTTCCGTGGACCCTGACCGGAAGCCCTGGCAACACAGACCCGAGGCTTTAAAAACCCCATCAGGGCTGTGATGGTGACGTGACTGTCACAGTTAAATAGGAAATCCACTGGCAGTGGAATCCGTTTCTAGTATTTTGCATTTGTGATCACTTCTTCAAAAAGTTTACTACCAAACTACATGTAACCCACAGTCACCAGTATTAGAACCACAAAACTCCCGAGATGCTATCTAGTTCAAATACCCTTCTTTAATACTTTAAAGTTATTAAATGATTTGCCTGCTCACTCAAATGTGACCAGATTATCGATATTATCTATTGATAATAAAGGAGGGTGAGGGCAGAAGCTGAGAAAACCAGAAACAGAAACACAGGCACTGGACTGGTTGAGTTATGTTGTCTATTTATTAGTTTGCATTAAAATCTGTAGTTCAATAAGCTTTCCAAATTCAGGCAGGAGTGGTGAGTAGTGGGTGTTTGTTAACAAAGGAGGATTATCAGGATACAAAATGCCCGCCGCTGAGCAAAATGTCATGACTAGAAGTGGACTGGCACTAAAAAAACAGTAACAGTGTTTCTTAGCTAAAGCCTCTCCTCTTCCTCTAGGCAAATAGATTTGGGGTTTTCAGCCCACAAGAGGGGTGCAGAAGCTCACGTTCCTGGGTGACTAGGCCAGAGGACCTTTGGGAACACTGTCTATTCCCCTACACTGGCCGCGTGCCCACTCCAACCACCGGAGGCCCGGCCTGGCATGGTGCCAACACATCACCATAGTGGGGCCAGCTTTCTCCTCGTCTGTCCTTCACCCAGGCTGACGCTGCTGAAAGAAACCCTGTTCTGCAGGTACTTCTGAGCTTGCAAAGGCGAGCTTTTGGTGTCATTTTAAATGACAGAGCCCATTTTAAACTAAAGGTGTATCTCTGATCTTAGGAAAAGAATACAGCTTGTTAGAGAGGCCAAACCCATATCGCTTGCTGTTTGCCGACACCGACGACTTGCTGGGTAGAAGGGAGAGAATCCTAACCTACTTCACAGGGCGAGGAGGAGGTTCAGATGAGCAAGCACATGGAGCGCTCTGCACAGGCCGGCAATGTCAGTCCTGGAGGGCGCCTGACCGACATTCATGTTACAGAACTAAATGAGGCAGATGGTCCTGAGTTACTGAGTACAAAGCAGGGAAATACAGACAACTGCCTAGAAGGAAAGAAACCCACAGCAAAGGGCTAGTGATGGGTAAGATTTTAAAATAGACCAAAACATGACATGAAGTACTGAAGGCAAAACCAAACCAAACAGACAACAGCAAAGCCAAACAAAATACTAGTCTTCTGCTCCCGCTGTATTCGGAACCGATAGACGTTTTCTTCAGGGCAGCATGTCTAGCTTTGAACTGAGGTGAGGACCTGGAAGCAGGCCAGAGGAGGGCAATAAAGTACTGAAAGGACCATATTAAGGAAAGTCGAAAGGAGTGGGGGTTGTCCAACCAAGAAAATCAAAGGCTAAGGAGCTTAACGACCAGACTGAAGGCCAGAGAAGACCTGTGCTGTGATGAGGAATAGCCAGGGCCCTGAAGACAAAGCAGACAGGAAACAGCTAACCAGAGCGCTTGGTCCAGCAGAGATCCCTGCCGGCTCCGAGGTGGGGACCGGCATGTGGAGAGGGTGGCCAGCACTTCCTAGAACGATGGGGACGTAACCTGGTTCATATTTAAACTCTGATAGCCTCACATTTCCTGTGGTCACCCTCAAAATGTACAAACGGTGTTTGTAGTGCCTATAAGAAACCCTGCAAGTTCTCAAATTCCCAGTACCATCAGGAAGTGTATGGTCGGTGGGATTTAGGGTGTTGAGCAGTCTGTTGTGTAAGCTGCAAACTCTTCCTGACCCTACCAAAACAGACAAACACACATGCGAAAACACATGCGCATAGGGGACGCCCAAGGGTCATCAGCAGAAAAGTGCAATTGTCGCAGATTCTCAAGCTTTCAAGGTTTTCTTTCTTTTTTTAGCTAGTTAGGTTGGAAGGAAAAAGATCATTCTGATGGCTTGAGGCATCCATTCCTTTGTCAAACTCACTCCATTTGCCTCCCCGTGTATAAAAGCGTGCTTTTGGACAGACTAAAACAACATTTTCAAAGCAGTCGGGATAGGTAGTTCATAGTTTGCATTTAATATGAGGGCAGAAGATCTTGTGCATTTGAAGACTAATCTGACATTTAGCCTGCTGGCCATAAAGCTAATGAAGTTACTTATGAGGGTAAAGGAGAAAGAAAAGAGGCTGGAAGCTGTTCCCTCACTCAGCAGGA